ACATGAGCAGTACCATGGACATAACAGAGTATACTGTTTCGCTCATGATACCCCCTATGCGTTGCTATTCCTGAGGACTCAGGTGTTATTCCTCTATACACAGTAAATTCACGCCATATCCCATCCTTCAAATCGAAACACAGCTATGCAAACACAACTGCTTCACGGTTGAAACACGAATGGGACAGAGGTACCCAAGCAATCGACTTTTGTACAAAGTCTCCCTCTGGTATATATATCTATTTAAATATCAATAATTTTGGTGCCACCAACGATATTCGCCACCTATTACTGTAAAACAAAATATATAAAATGGTTATATACAACTATTTGTACAAAATCAAAGAACAAAAACATATGTCCACATTCACACGTGTACACATATAATACCAGTAAGAGAAAATAAGTGAGGATAAAGTCAACTTAAACGCATGTCATCATAAGTAAATATTATTTGTTTTTTTTTTATTATTTATTTTTTATTACAAAAATTCAGAATTACAGAAAACGTTATTCAGAAACCATGTAGGTTTATATTAAACTGTTAAACTTGTATTAACATCATGTAAGAAGTATAATATGTTTGTAAATGCTTTATTACTAACTGCCGCAACTGCAACCGCAATTTTTAAATACCGCAACTTTTCTCGAGTGAATTAGGGTAAAATATACGTGTCAATCCAGCATAGAAATGACCTATCTGTGTATCTTTAAAATTTTATTCATTAATATTAGCAGTTCTAAGTTATAACTGATTTATTCTAACCTAATTTAATATCTACTATTCAAATATATACATCATCCAAATTAATAAGATAATTAAAAATATGAATTAAACAGAGACCGTAAATATATTAGAATTTAAAAGACGATGTTTAATTATTATATTGAGTTTCAAGTAATATAATTTCCTGCGGCTTTAGTCGCATTGAAAAGTATCCTATATGTTAGTTAATTGGGCTTTAGAGATATTTTAAAAGAAACGCTGCTGTCCATCTCTCTACCATTGTTCCCTCAATCGCCTCTTACGACACCCATGGGGAAGGAAGTAGTGGCCTTTTCTATGCCGGAGCCACACAGAAAATCCAGATATCCATAAATAGCTAGTATAAATAAAAAATCACAAATAATAAGAACAAAAAATTTCAATTTGTTACTTATTTCATTTTGAGTGTTTCTCTGATAAATTTAACAAAAATTATTAACTTTTTATTAAATTTGATTGAAATAGTCCATACAAAGTTTCAAATGCTCTTATTTTCAATTCTAGCAGCATATGCTCCTGAGAATTTGCCTCAGATTCCTTTAACGTTAGGAGATCAAGAATGTTAGGTTCGAATACATTGAAATATAGTGGTTTACTCTGACAATATACACGTAGAGTTTATTTTGTAAAAGAATTAATTCAGACAACTTGTTTTCCAGGGAAACGATCCGAATGGACGCTAGTATTACGACTTCCAAATTGTCAAAGTAATTCAGAGCGGTTGCTCTTGGTACTCCCAAGAGCAACATAGATAGTTCACCGACTCTGTCAGCTGACATTCAACCTTACGAATTTGCACAATTCCCGTTACATTCCGTATCTACAACTGTATATACAATTTTCTTTACATCTGAATTATAATATTATCACCGGTATTACCACCAAATACCAGAGGGTGACTTTGTACAAAAGTATGCAGACGGCATAAGTATCTCTGTTTCTTGTGTATTCTGTCGTAAAGCAGCTGCAGTGCTTCGATTTGGAATGTGGGATATGGCAGTAAAATTACAGGATACTAGATGCCGATTACCACTTTCCATCAGGTACGCTGCTTGTTGCCAGTTTATTTGCATGTTTCATAAAATAAATACCATACACAACACCGTTAAATCTTTTAAGCGTGAAGTAACATTTATAAAAATGTATTTATTTATTTTACACTTTATTGCATCGATTATAAAAAATACGGTAATTTTTAACTAAAATTAATTGTTTTTAATTAACTTTTAAAATGTATTTGAAAATCGTCGTCGAAGTTGTCATCCAATTATATTACGTACAGTAGATAAAAAGAATGATTTCGCATGCGTAAATATAGAATTACTTTCTTCATACGAACTTATTGTCTCTCTGTATAAGCAGAATGACATCAACTTTCCGTTGTAATAAATAACAAATCGTAATTTGTGTATCTGCTTATTACTTGTAAAAAAAATTAGCAGGCGTATAATACATATAATTTTGTAACCGGGTTTTATTCAATTAACTTTTATTTTAATTTTTTAGCATCTAAATTAAAAAAAATCAATTTAATATAGATTTTTTAAATATACTAAATTATTGAATAGACGTACTTATTTCTTGCAAAAGAACTTGACAATAAATTTGTAGATCGTAGAATACGAAGTAATACAATAACGATGTACAAATACAATGTATCACCAATCCGTTTCATTCCGAGGATGTCGTTAGAGGCGATAAAGGAAACAAAACACCAGTGTGATAAAAGAAAAGATAAGATAAACTCAAAATATACTAACCTGTCTTGCCAGCGTGGTATCCAGGAATGAGGCGTTAAAATGTTGCTATGATGCTAATGGTAGCAAACGTTGTAGATATATCGAATTAATTAATAACTGCATAATACATACCTGAATTCATTAATAATTAAAAGTAAACTTTCTGCTTTTTATTACTAATTTATATCACGAGGGAAAAGTTTGTAGATTAAACTCGCCGCCGTACACATATTTTTAAATTTAATTCAGACATTACTTAGCCACCCACGGACGAGGGAACCGCGTCTAGTTTATTGTACAACAACATGGAACTATGCGAAGAGGATAATAAAAGAGTAGATAAGTAGTAGATAAGCAGAGTTTTGCTTCATAAAAAAGCAGCTATTGCAAACGTCTTATATATTGTGATGATTATAGTTTGATTGAAGAATGATTGAAGAACTTCCATGTTACAAAATTAATATAAAACTAACAATACTATCTATTACAAAAAAAAATACCAAAAAACAATATACAGTGGAATTGAGAAATTTCTTCCAAGAGTCGTTCAAAAATAAGATATTTTTAGAGGTCAAATGTTCACAACGTTTGACCTACAAAAACATCTCATTACTTGCTCAGTGGGTTAAACTGAGATATTTTCGGAGTAATGATAGTAAAAACGATATCTTACTGTAAGGCAGACACTACGAAAAGAAAATGGGTTGTTACTTGTAGAACACCTACACTACCTTTGATATATACGTATACATAACTACGAGTTTGCGAAACTATTAACATAAATTGAATGTTAAGTATATTTAATGATATTTAAAAACTAATAATTTTGTAAGATTTCAATAATCTAACGTTTTAATTTGGTGTTTTATCTGATGCTATTATGCGTCCATGGACGGAGTGACAGCCGGAGATTGATGACAAATATCGAAGGTTCTAGTAGTGGTAGACCTTACCGATAACAAATAACTAAAATATATAATAGAGCCAAACTAAAAGATAATTAAATTAAATTCTGACCAGAGAACGGTCTCAAATAGTAATTTCCAGGATAGTATTATGGACCTGTTATTCTTTATTATATATATATATATATAAATGACTTGCCCAAAATATTAAAACAACCCATGTCACTTTTTGTCGATGAGAGTACAGTAATAATAGAATACCAAAATACTGAGGAGTATGAAAATTGATTTGAAGAATATTATTAAATGTTTAGATAATAATAATCTACAAATAAATATTAATAAAAGTAATATAATGCATTTTAATCAAAGAACTGCTCTAACTACAGTATACTATAGCATTACTCACTTCAATGCTTCAGTTTAATAGTAATTAATATTTTGGGGAACTGCGACAGAGAAGGAATTTAAAACTCAAAAAAGGTAAATAAGAGCCATATTAAATCTTTAAAATACTGACAGCTGTATGCCCTATTTTAAACAGTGCAATATATTTACAGTATCTTGATTATATAGAAGTGTGTGCATTTGTTACAAATAATAATTTATATCCCCGGCTTTCTGAAATTATTAAACGTTATATACATGTTTCTCAAATAAAAAACTTGAATTTTATATCTTGAATCTATTCCAACACCATAAAATAAAAAAATGAATATGTTTATTTGTTCTCTTGGCATCTTATCGCCTTAACTAACTATATACCTACACGTAATATGATGAAGGTTCCTAGTTATACGAGTTAATCAATAGATCTACCTCTATGAAAGGAGTTGAGGACATCGCAATTAGTAAAATCGTTATAAATAAAATAGTTACAATCAAGAAGCTGTTACATCAATCTGTTTATTTACTGATTGCTTTATTTGTACGTATCTCATATAAAATAGTTATTAAGCAATATCTTATGATAAGTGAAATTGTTTTGCGGAAATGTTCATAATGAGAATAACAATATTTATAATAATATTAATTTCAATAATTATAATCCATCTGCATAGGTCCGAAATTGATTTTTAGTGTTTTTTTTTTAACAAATATCAAACATTTGATCTTTAATTTTTGTACTTAGATAATGTGACTAATGGCAATATGAGATGTTTTATTAATAAATTTTATTTAATAATACTAAACTTATTCAATAAGATTTATTTGAATATTTACAAATTTTACAGAAAATAAGAAACTACGTAAAAAATACAATAATTAGATATGTAAATGCCTACTTATATGAAATTGTTAAGTGAGATTAAACCTTCAAGATCTGAGATATAGAACAAAATACCTATAAACTAAACGAAACGAGATTAAAACAAAACAATGTAAACTTTTCTAATACCTAACACCTATCAGTATCGTTTATATCGTATTTATTTTTGAACATGAACTGGTTTTATAGCTTCTGGATACATTTTGTTGTTCTCATATCTAAATAACAAAGTAAAATTGGGTCGAGATCGTGTCGAGAGTCCAATAGTAATTTTGCCCAGTTCAATGAATGGGCGGGAAGCGCAGTCGCCCACGCTCCGTCGAGCGCGCGAACGTTCGAAGCAAATAGCAGTAGCGCGCCCTCAACAAGTGGGCTAGCAAATCTTGGCTATAAGTTCGGCGGAGTGATAAAAATAAAAAATAAACACTGACTTAATATTATATAATTTTTCGTGAAAGTATCTATTAAGTGAAAATAACTTTATACCTTGTGAAAAGTGAAATACATACCTTTAGTGATTTTATGGAAAACATTTGTAAGCTAAAATTTTTGACGCAGAACAGAATTAGGTAGCGGTTGCATAAATTATTCATTCCTAATCTCTTTGGCATAATAAGATTTTATCAGTTATACAGTTAAATAAAAAAATGTCTTATAAGGTATTACACTAATACCCTTGCATAGTTTTGATAAATCCTTTCTTTATAACGCTTACTGTTTAACAACTTGATAATAAAATTGCAAAAAGTTATGTCTGCTATCTGGGGAAATATGCCTATCGCAATAAGCCTGCCTTTATACTACATTTTATTGATCAAGAAAGTATTGGTATATTATACTGTATAAAAAAAATTAAATAAATATATAAATATGTAAAATTTAAGTAGTAAGTTTTTACAACATATTTTAGGTAATAAAATTGATATATGCAAATAATGCTACTTACATTATTTGCATATATTAAAATTGTCAGAGTCTACTTCGGGTTTTTTTTTTTTTGCTATATTGCGTTTCCTATAATAGTTACCTATAGATATTCATTTATTTAATTAATTTAAATAACTTTATTGATCAAAAGAAAATATGGTATTAAAGGCGGATTTAATGCTTGTAGTATTCTCGTAAATATTATAAAACGGTTTTAAATTTTGTTGGTATATTTTTCCAATAGAAGCAATGCTAAAAAAAAATAGCACTACAATAATCTTTACAGTTACTAAAATTTTACTATATCTTTATACGTATTAAATAAAATACATTTTATAGTATAAATGTAACAACTTTGATTTATTATTACTAAATTTCTTAATATATGTAATAAAATATATATATAAAAAAAAAAACAGAAATATATATTAGTACGTGTCAAAAGATTCACAGTAAGTTACAGTGTCAAATACCATATATGAGCATAGGCCTCCCTCTATTGGGGGGTTTTGCCAATACTTGCAATGCTTGACAGGTGGGTTCGCAATAATAATAATAATAAACTTTTTATTGCGCACAATAGAAATGGATACAAGGAGTATTTATACAGAATGTGCATATACAAAAGGCGGCCTTATTGCTAAAAGCAATCTTTTACAGACAACCTGAACCTGGTAATCGCACTTAGGCTTTGTTGGTGTTTCAAGAGAGACACTGTTGCCTATGCCACAAGCATTAAATTCCCTTAATCGCCTCTTATGACACTTATGGGAAAGAAAAAAATAAATATATACTTATATTAGTCACTTAATTACTGATATTGCCTGAAACTATTTAAAAAACAAAATGTACAAATAATAATGACCAATTATTTAAATATTGCAATGTATTAGTAATTAATATCTTCAACAGAATAATAATATCAAATATAATTGTAGGCGAGGAATACTACAACCTTAACAAGTTGACAAATAGAACTCGATCTGATAATCTGAGTTTTTTTTAATTATCTTTGTTTTCTGTCGCTTTGTTTTTGCGACAACCTTCTTATCTGTATTATTACAGTAACTGTGTATAAAGCTGAAGATTTCATTTTTTATTTTATTTTTTTTATTTTATTATATTATTAAGTTACCTAAATATATTTTGCCTCGATTTCACAATGCAAATAAGAAGCATACCTTGGAATGTATGTAGTCACAAATATTAAATCAATTATCTGCGAATATATGTGACAACATATATAGTAATCCATAAAAATGTAAAAAATATTGTATATATATATATATATATATATAGGTTTTTCAGGCTTTATAGCCTTATAGGGAAAAAATGTTAAATTTTAAACTGATTTTAACTTTTTAAATTAAAAAAAAAGTCCTGCACAACAACGAAACTGCATTCAGTAGATGAATAATTTAAACATCAATACGAAGTGACGCAAACAAATCCTATTGGAAATAAATATGAGAGCGAGAGCATCGTATTAATGAAGAGAAACTTCAGTGTTATGTGTTTATACTTTAACTACACAAATCGTACGGAACTCAAATTTATTCTCAAACATAATTATTACACTTCGGGAGCGGATGCTTTAAATTCAATGAAGTTCAAAAAGTTTACCTATTCACGGTACTTATGAGTATTTTTACCTATTCCGCGCAATGTCTTCGTTAATTTTGAATAGATTTCAATGATTCTTTGGTTTACTACTATACTAATGTGGTTAGGTTTAAAGTTAGTTTTTACCTATTTTTTGATAGGTTAAATATAAGCTTTGCTTAGTTTGGGCCAAGGTGGCAATGTCTACAAGTCTAGTCTTTATTTATTACCTTAACATACAATTAGTATTCTAAAACCGAGCTCGCATATCTCTTCATAACACAGGGATATAGCCTGCTATATCTTATATATACTAGTTTTGACCAGTATAGTAGGTATGGCAATATAACAGTATCTGGTACAGAATTTTTCTTCAAATTTTCTTCTTTCCCACTATTGTAATGTGCTTTGCTCCATTTATCTGTTTCGACATTTTACGAAAGGAGTATTAAAATTGATGTATTAGAGAATTCAATTTAATTGTTTTATTACTGTTCCCACATTCAAGTATTTAGGTAGATATTCCAATAAAGATTAGTTAGTTTTAGTCAGAAAGCAATCACATCTTAATTCTCAATCTAATACGAGTGCTATTGTTCATAAAGTGGATATTTAGACAATATTACACTGAAAATACACCCGGTTACCTAATTTAATCAGAATTAGTGTGTTAAGGGACTCGTTTTATGTGCGGATCTAATGCTTATTTTTAATAAGGTTGATTCTGTCGATCCCCTTGTAGGACGAGTAATTTCTTTCTATTAATCTATATATTAGAATCATAATTTATAGTGATGTTAAATAATTGCAAGCTTAACATTTTAAAAATAAAAATAAGTAAGACCGTCAAATAATATGATATCCGTCTCCAAAATTACCTATTTACAATTTTTTTAAAACCTAACAACTTGAATAACTCATTTAATTGTTTTACCTGGTTTTTCATAGTACAAGTGAGCTAAATAAAATGTAAAATAATAATGTTAATTGAGGACGCATTGCTCAGTTTAGACGTGTTCGTCAAACAACCCACTAGAAATATTCACAAATATTCAATCTAACTCCTACTAAACTCCTAAGGAACTCCATTTTATGTAATAACATATCTTAACAATATAGTAGAGTAACATATGTTACTACATAATACTATATAAATTCTTCAAACTGTGAATACTTGTGAATTTTTCTATCTAGTAACTAGTGCGTCTATAATAATAATAGAAATTTAAATTAATTATCTACATGAACATATTTTTTTAATTATCTTTTCACATAACAACACAATATTATTATGAATTATTTATATAACTACTTAGCCGAGTGACACGTGTATGTGGTGTTTAGGTACTAATTGATATTACCTGATGGTGTTTCCGTTAGTTGAATTATTTAGTTTCAATATGATTAAACCATGTGATGTAGATATCATGAATAGATAAGAGTCAAAAAGCAGTTCATGACCATGCACCAAAAAGTTAATATACCTAAATAATTACAATAATAAACTATTTACTGACAAAATATATTCTTTCTGAATAAATACATAATACATAAAGCCTAAACCGTTCAAATTAGAAGAACAAAATTCAACATCGCATTTTCGAAATTTTTTATTTTTAAATAATTTTTTAATTACTTACTCTTGATATTTATCAAGCGTAAGTAATTTATATTTAGCACATCGCAGTTTTTTTATTATGTAGATGAACACTGAAGAAGGATTTTTAAAAAATCACCTTAAGGTGTCAAATAGAGGATGTAATTTTGTGTGAAAGTTATATTGTTAATATGATAAAATAAGTCGTTAAAAATAAAGCGTTGTAATTAGCATGATGAAAATCTATTCTACATTAGCTGCATGCATTACATCCATCAAACTTTATTTTGCCAAAATTATATATATATATATATTGTTTATATATGAGATAAAATTACTTTCATTCCATTTCTCATAAATAATAAAGACCTAACAGTTACTGATAATTCGTAATTTCTTATTTTAGTCCATAATTAAAAACTGAATAGCATAACTTTGTCTTTGGCGGTTTTTCTCAAAAACAGTGCTAGTCAGAAACACCGTTCTATTTTTTCCTGTAATATTCATATATATCTTTAAACTGTAATTATTTCAAATGTTTCACTTCAGAAACTTCAAAGATAATAATAAAATAGGCATCATAAAAATCAGTTTTAAATTGTACAAATGAAGCCCTTTCGTACGATGTACCATTTGGACTAATAAGTCAATTTTAAAATTATGATTATTCGTTTCTGACCCCTTAGCAAAGAGAACAAAAATATTTTTTTAATTATTTCCATTGCAGAATGTACAGGCCAATGATATATCAAACTATTCCAAATTTTAAATTGGTAGCATTAGTAGTTGCCAACTTTATAACGCTGTGATAAACAAACGGACAAACTCAGAGCATAAGGGTCCTTTATATCTTTTTAGTACTGAACCTAAAAATAGCAGAATTTGACCAACCGTACTTAAGTAATACGTTTATCGACTAACAACATTTCATTTTTATTTATATAAAATATTAGCTACTCACTTAAGTTATACGCTACCCATTAAAAATAAAAATATCTTCTCAATACTCTGGAGGTCGTCACTTTCATTCTTACATTCAAATTTTTTATAATCTTCTGGGCATATTTATATTAAATTATCTAAAAAATACCGATCTAATTTTATTTCACTTGTCACTTGCTACACATTGTACGTAAAAACAAAATCCAATGCACACCTTTGCGTTTTTTACTATTGTTTAAAAAATGTAAATATAACTTTTCCTATAAAATTTTGTGGTTTTACTTGAAGAGATTTTTATTTTCGTATTAGCATTACAAATAATATAATAATAATATTACACAGGAGATCGATACTGAAGGTCTCTCAATATATTTCAAAAATGGTGAGATTCTGGATTGTACTCTATTTTTAGAATTCCCCACAAAAATTGTATAAAGGGCGTATTTGGGCGCAACCTTGTTCATCAGTTCGTGCGTCTGTTATAACGCTTTTTTCTGTAAC